TTCTCATACAACAACAGTTATCACTCTAGCATCGGTGTTCTACCTTTTGAGCTCTTGTATGAGCGGAGATGTCATACCCCGGTTTACTGGGGCGAGGTTGGTCACAAGGTTATAGGGCGGACCGAAGTGGTCCTTCAAACCACAGAGATGATTCAGCAGACTAGACAGATATTGCAGACTGCTAAAAGTCGACAGAAGAGCTATGTCGACCGGCGATGATCCGAGTTGGAGTTTCAGGTTGGCGACATGGTGTTACTGAAGGTCTCACCTCAGAAAGGTGTGATACGCTTCAGGAAGAGGGGAAAATTGGGTCCCCGATATATTGGGCCATTTCGAGTGATCGCCAGGGTTGACAAGTTTGCTTACAAATATGATATTGGATGAGGATGCGGTGGTTTCATTGGATGACATTCAGGTTGATGAGCTCCTAAACTATGTTGAGAGGCCGGTAGCTATCCTGGAAAGGAAGGTAAAGGCTTTGCGTAGTAAGGAAGTACCTTTGGTAAAGGTACGATGACAGCACTAGAGGGGCTCCGAGTGGACCTGGGAGCCGGAGGCTGAGATGCGGGAGCATTATCCCAAGTTATTCACTACAGAAGACTTCGAGGACAAAGTCTAGTTCAAGTGGGGGAGAGTTGTAACATCCCGGTATTCAGGTACCTTTAAATTCATCCTTATGGTTTTAATTTATGTCATTTTGATCCCGGTAATAGAAGGAAGTAGCCATGAGAAGCCCAAATGGAGAAACCGTAATTTGGAAGGAATAGGAGTACGCCATGCGTACGTGTGTACGCTTAGCGTACTAGGGTGCACCCTAGTACACGAGGCTTACGTTAACGTACGCAGGGTGTAATTATCAGATATTGAAAACCCTAATTTTTAGGATTGAGCCCTATATAATCCCCCTTATAACCTCATTTCCCTCACCCTTTTAGCCTCCACCCTCCTTGAGTCGATCTTGCAAGCCTTAGCCCTTGTTTGTGTTGAGCTTGTGTGTGTGTGTGTGTGTTCTTGGTGTTGAAGAAAGAAGAAAGTATTCTTTGATAAGCTTTGGTGTGGGATTCAAGCTTGTAGATCTGAGATCATCATCTCTTTGGGAAGCTCCAGAAGGTATAAAGCCTTGCACTTTACTTGTATTTCTTAGAGATCTATCCATATGGAGTTTTATGAGTTTTGTCCCTTTTTCTTGGACTTAATGAGTAAATGCTACTCTAAGACCAAAGGAGCTGCCTTTTCAGAAGATTTAAGTTGTGTTAAGTCATAAAAATGCTTTCTTGACTCACTTAGTGCTTGCATGAAAAGTGTAAAGTTCTTTAGTGGTTAAGACCAACTAAGAGGTTGATTTTGGGTCTTAATGATGCATGCATAACCATAAAGTTGGAAACTTTATGGTTAAGAGCACCTTCTTGGACTTGGATCTGGTTATTAGACGTTTGGACTGAATGGATTAAGCCCTTATTCGAAGATTTGCATAGCCACCACGTACGGTTGGCGTACCAGGGCGTAGACTGCATAGGTGGTCAACGACGCGTTTTTTGGTCAAGGAGGAGTACGCTGAGCGTACAGCTGGGTATGCCCCGCGTACTCAGTCTGTTGGGTTTAGCAAGTTTGAGCTTCAAGTTTGGGCCACCTTTTGGGCTTGGATACTTGGGCCCTTATTAGACCATCTGAGTATTGGTGTTTTCGGCTAAGTGAAGGGATGGACTTTAGGGTAAGGCCCAAGTAGGAGTTTGGGCCCAATTTGGAAAATTAGGCCGAATATGGGCCTTGAGTAATTACTTAGTTTTGGGCCTTTTGGATCAAGATTTGGGCCTTGGTCTTAACCCAACTAAGGAAAGGGTAAAGTGGCCTTTTACCCTAATGATGCACTATTAGCTAAGGTTTGTAATCCAATTATTAATTGGATGATTATTTTGTTGTGTTAGCGCGGGGATTTTAGTGAGCCAGCAGCCGGACACCTTCAGTATGATTCAGCAGTGTGAGGTGAGTTTTCCTCACTGTACTTACGGGTCGAAGGCACCAAGGCCGACTCATTGGTTTGATAACCTGATAATCACTGATATGTTGAGTATGGAATAGATATACATGCTAGTTGTGTTATGCTAGTCTGGTAGATCTATAGGTTTACCTGTGATACTGTCTGTTTATCTGTGTATGATATTATCTATTATATGTCGACATATTGTGTAGGTTGGTTTAAGGTTGTACTGCTTCGTGCGGTAGCCAACAAACCCTGGAACAAGCCATATATGAGTTGAGGGCCAGGTAGGGCATGCCAGACTCATACTGAGGGCTCGTGAGCATTCAAGATACGTGTTGAGGGTTGTGAAGGGCATGCCATACTCGTACTGAGGGCTTAGTGGTATTCTGTCCAAGGACTGATCTGGTCGGGGAGCAAGCCAGGCATAAGTTGTGGGCCGAGGGCAAGCCAGACTTATGCTATGGGGTCAGGGGTAATCCAGTCTGTTAGTGTAGTGGTTTTAATCATGATGACATATGCGGAATATGAAATGATTTAGTGAATCATACAAGAATCATGAACACGAAGAATACAAGAGTAAATAAATATGGGTTTAGCTCTCATTAGTTTTTAGAAAGAGTACAAATGGGTTTGCAATAATTCTCTCTCTAAACTAATCTCTCTAAATATTTCTTACATAAAATGAGTGTCACTCACTTCCTATAAAGGAAAGACAACTCATTACACACATACAAAGGAGTAAGCACACATGACATCAAAGAGTGACTTTGCATCCTAACATTCTCCCCTCAAAGTTAGGATTGGATGTCCCGGCTTCAATATCTAACGAGCACGCGCGATCAAGACTAACTCCCCCTCAAAGTAACATTGGTATTCAAATCTGAAAATGAATACCCGATAAGCTTCGAATACCCACTCTTCATTCTCCTCATTTTTATAATCAACAAGTGATTATAAAACTCATTAAGGTTGACAAGTGCCCGGTGAATAATCTTCACAAATCTCCCCCTTGATGTGTGCCAAAAATGAAACCACGAAAAACTTGCATGAAAAAACAATCACGAAAAAGTCTTGAAAATTTTCCAATTTTATGAAAATTTTCGACTTTTGGGTGAGAGTTGCAAGAATTTCGAAAATCCGGGTAAAAATTGCCAATATCAAAATTCTGCAGGGACCCGTTGCGCCAAAAACAGTCTCAGATGCGAAACTTTACCCCAATTGAGAAACTGTGCATAAAGTGTTAATTCGCTTTAACTGTAGGGGCCTGATACGTAAATTTCTCCATTTCTCAGAATTTTCAACCCAATTGCGAAGTTGGGTAAATTCTACCAAGTTTCAAAACATCAGGGATTCGAAACGAAAAGTCTGCATTTAACACAAACTTTTATCTCCAATTTCAAATGTGGGTTTTTTCTGCCACTTCTTTGAAAGATAAGGGATTCGAAATGAACATTCTCTTTCTTCCCCGATCTATTTGTACCAGTCAGATATGAGTTCGATGCCAAGCCAGACCATTCGAAATTGATACCAAAATTACCCATTTCGAAGTCTTCAAAATCGACACTCGACGTCGACTTCCCTTTCATTACTCCCATTTCAAACCGTCAATCCTTCGATTTGCAGTAAACAGAGTTTGACTCCAAAAAGTCAAATCCAAAATTAAGTAAACATAAATCCATTCGAACATCAGAATGACTATCTACATCAACCCAAATTCCAGTTGAGTGTGATGTGAAACCCGATCATCCCATTTCGAATCCTCAATATCAGTCGACATCGGCATAAACAATATCAGGCTTCGAAATCAAGACTCAAGAGTCGATTCTACCGATGAGGCACCCATAACGTTCAAAATCAGGCTTTCAATCATTGTCGTCGATCCAAAATCAGTTGACCCTCAATATCGATACCCATAACGAATCCTTCAACCCATCGAAATCGATCCTTCCTAGTCGACTCGATATTGACATTGAATACTCGATTCTAAAAATCACCAATCAACCTCGATCCCAAATCTTCAATTCATTAGGCCTTCGAAATCGATTTCATATAAGGACCCTCGACATCAAGACTTTTGACTCCAAATCAAAACCAGAATTCAACTATCAACTCTCATTTCGACTCCAATAACCCATCAACCAAAATCGAAACTCCAAACAATGATCATATGAGTGTCATCAACAGTCAAATCAAACAAGAACAACACTCGAATTTGATTTCAACCCTGAGCAAACACAATTGACTCAAATACGTTTGAATGTATATCATTGACTTCTAAATAATCGATTTCGGTTTCAAATCCAAAACACGTTCGTTTCCAAAGCAGTCGAACCCAAGGAGTAATCAACAACATCATTGAAATCAACTCTTGACTCAAAACACATATACCTTCGAAATCGATATACTCGACAACAAGAACAACTCGAACTCTTCTGATTGTTTGAAACGAAATCTCAAGCACTTCGATTTTGACTCCTAGCTTCTATTACAGATGACAAAATGGATTTTGATTTGAGTTAAAACAAAATATGTGATGAACAGTGTTTGTATAATGTTTGGGCTCAACTTTGAATTAAATCCATGAACAGTAATGGACTCGGAATAATGATAAGTGAAGATTTCAAATTAATGGGCTCAAGGTGATTCAATGATGAACAGTAAAAATTTCGAACAAAAAAAATTTGATTTTGAAATTAAAAAGAAATATGAGAATATGATTTGGATTTTTGGATTGATCTAAACAAAAAAAATAATTGGATCAACAATGGGGATGAAGCAGAATAAGGGTAGGTTGATAACCCACAGCAGAAGGCATTCTACCCAACAAGGTGGATACTTCAGATTCTGCTTGGACAAAATGGAAGATATTGTCAATAAATAAAAGTACATCTTGTTCATTAACATCTCGTAAATATTCCGCCATAGTTAGGGCAGTCAAACCAACTCTCATACGAGCTCCCGAAGGTTCATTCATCTGACCGTAAACTAGAGCTACTTTTGATTCTGGAATATTTTTTCATTAGTTACTCCAGATTCTTTCATTTCCTTCACGAATCCGTTCACCGACTCCGCCAAAATACAGATCGCCTCCGTGAACTTTGGCAATATTGTTAATCAATTCCATAATGAGTACTGTTTTACCCATGCCAGCTCCCCCGAATAGTCTGATTTTTCCTCCACGGCGATAAGGGGCTAAATAATCTACTACTTTAATTCCGGTTTCAAAAGTAGATAATTTTGTATCTAACTGTATAAAGGCAGGCGCAGATCTATGAATAGGAAATGTTGTACTAGTATCTACAGGACCTAAATTACCAACAGGCTCGCCAAGCACGTTGAAAAATCGTTTGAGAGTCGCTCCACCGACCGGAACACTTAGTGGAGCTCCCGTATCATATACGTCCATCCCTCTCGTTAGACCATCTGTAGCACTCATAGCTACGGCCCTAACTCGATTGTTTCCTAATAATTCCAACAAATCAAAGGGATCAAAAATGAAAAACGTAAAGCACGAATCGAAATCATGAACGTTTTGGAATCCATCTGAGAATTTGAGATACCTTTTTGATGATCCAAGTTCCATTTGCAACGATCGAGTCAAATTTTGAAGATCTTGGTTCTTTTGTTGGAATAAGAAAATCACCAATTTGAACATTGTACCACCCACGATGCGTGTTGCACAACTCGTTCTTCGTTTTCTTCAACGATCTAACACCATATTCATAAGAACCATCAACACTTTTGGGTTTTGAATTCAAATTCATTGCAACACTTGGTGATTGTTGCTTTGGAACCTAAATTTGCTTTATGGATTTCGGCTTCACAACAACATTTGACGATTTTTGTGAATAAACCCACTTGTTCTTACGTTTGATCTCCTTATTCTTTTTCTTTCTCATATTTTTACATCTTGAAGATTTGATTTCAAGAACAACTTCATTCTTGACAACTTCAACTTTGCAAGTTTGAATCAAATATTTTAGAGTGTGATAATGTGAATTTATTGGATTGATGGCTTTCGATAAGGGATCATTCCTTCAAACGAATCACAAGAACACAAAATATCATCGATTTGAACTCCAATCGAGCAAAAAACTTTTTCATCTTCATTAGAATCAACTTGAATCTTCTTATCATGAACTTCAAGAACATCACATTGAATTCTATAGTCTTGAACTTCAACATACTTAAGAGCATGAAGATCACTTGGGTTTTCAATAAGAGAAATGTATTTCTTATCAAACAAATCTCTTTCTTCTCCTTCCTTTTGATTTTCACTCCAAGATAACATGCTCATAGTAATTTGAATCAAAAAATCAATCTTCGAAAGTGGTTGAAACATCAATCTTCCATGATCATCCTTCAAACCTCCATAAGAAACCAAAGTTTCCCATGAAATCAACCCACCTTTCAATAATAATCCATAGAATTGATTTTCATTGACTTTGTACTTGACACCATCTTTGATCAATCGATAAGATCTTGAGTTTTTCTAGAGAGAGAAAGTGATTTTGAATGGGTTTCTACAGAGAGAAAGCAAAAATCACTTGAATTCTAGTGAAGAAAATCGAATTATAAAACAAATCAAGGAATAATTAGATTTCTAGAATCCAAAAACTTTCTATAACACGAAGATCAAATAGCAATGAAGAATCACCAAATCAAAAATATCATCATGGATCAATTCTTGAAAGATTCAAGAACACCTGCTCTGATACCAATTGTAGTGGTGTTAATCATGATGACATATATGGAATATGAAATGATTTAGTGAATCATACAAGAATCATGAACATGAAGAACACAAGAGTAAATAAATCTGGGTTTAGCTCTCGTTAGTTTTTAGAAAGAGTACAAATGGGTTTGCAATAATTCTCTCTCTAAACTAATCTCTCTAAAGTTGTTCTTACAAAAAATGAGTGTCACTCACTTCCTATAAAGGAAAGACAACTCATTACACACATACAAAGGAGTAAGCGCACATGACATCCAAGAGTGACTTTGCACCCTAACAGTTAGTTGTTGACCCATTGCATGATGTTATTGTATATGTATTATTTGTTTGTGTGTTGGTATTTTGGGGGAACTCACTAAGCATTAGACTTACAGTTTTGGATTGTGTTTCAGGTACCTCAGAGGATCGCGGGAAGGCGAAGGCGTCATCGTGCACTTCCTCGTGTTTGTTTTTGTGATTTTGGGTAAAATCTGATATTAGACATGTTTTGAAAACTATTTTGTAAACAATGATGATTTTTGGGTTGTTTAAAAGATTTAAATTTTTCATGAATTCTATGAATGTTATAGTTGTTGAGTCTTGGTCGTTCCCGTGGATCGGGTCCTCCGACACATCTAGCCATGATTGAGCTAGTGCCCTCTCTTCATCATCTGTCCCCTCTACATGGAGCCCTCCCTTTTCCTTTTTTTTTTGTGCTTGTGGTTCCACTTCAGGCTCTTGAAATGATTCTTCAACGTGATCTTCAACGGGGCCTTCATCGGAAGAATCGGTTGACTCGTCGAGTAGGCGACGTGGTTGGGATTGAAAGTTAGTTTGCGGTTGGGGTTGAGAAAAGAATTGAGTTTCTTGAACCGTTTCAAACGGATCAAGATCCACATTCGGACGAGGTGTTGGTTGAGATTGGTTGTTGTAAAATCTCATTGGTTGAGAAAAGAACAGATCAAATGGAAACATTTGTGGAGTCATTGTAGGAAAGTAGAAGCTAGCGAGAGAGTGAATTGTTGATCAAATGATGGTCGATAACATGGTGGTGATGGAAGGTTTGGGGATGAAAGGTTTGGTGATTGAGTGTTTGGAGGAGGAAGGTGTAGTGATGGAAGGTTTGAAGATTTCTTTTTGTTTGTTCTTGGGGTTTTTTGCTTGATATGAAAACATTTTTCATTGGTGAATTGATAGAGTTTGTGAGAGAGATATGATATTTTTGTGTGTGTAAATTATTGAGAGTGTGGTTTAATTTATAGTAGTTGAATATTTTAATTTTTTTATTAAAAAAAACGATTTTTAAGTTGTTGAAATGTAAATTCAAGTTGAATTAAACTTTCAATTAAATTAAGAGAGTCGTTGATAAAATTGTTGAATTAAATTGAAGTTATTCAATTCGGTCGATGTCCATCCAAAGAAAGAGTCAAACAAATCCTTGACATATCCATTCAACCAATCAGCAACGTTATCTTTGTTTCTCTCTATTCTCATGAGGTACACATCGAATGAATCCTAGCGACCCCCTAGCGAATGCTAGGGGCGGTGTGTTGTACCCTTAGCGACTTTGATGAGTGTGGGTAACGACTCCCACTTCGTCCAATCTTATAATGCTAAGAAATCTATTCATAGGTTGGATGATCCGCTAAAGCGGATAAAGGGCAAAAAAAAAATACCAAAATTTCTCAAATATTTAGGCATTAACAAACTAAAAAATAGACATTGGACATAACCTAACATTTGTATAAACAAATTTTTTTTTTTCAAATGTTTAGACATCAACGAACTAGAAAAACCGAACATTTTGTATCAATTTGGATGGCAATAAAACTAAAATACAATATAACTTGTAATGGATTGGATAGAATTTAATATATACTTTGTAATGGATTGGATAGAATTTAACGGTTGCTTTATGTTTTATACTATAAAATATAAATTATAAGCTTAACAGAATATATAGTATTCAAGGTTGGAGATCAGGATATATTTTCATTCTAACAAATTCTAATAAATCACACGTCTCTCCGACGATGGCCGACGATCACCATCATCAAAAATCACCGTCAAACCCTCAAAACCCTAAAGTTTCTACTGAAATCGGACGTAGTAGCAGTCATATTAAACCAAATTACCCGAACCCGCCCGATATAACAAACCCGGACGCAGCAGCGCTAAGGGAACAATGGAAGTACGCCATCAGACAGTACAGCAAATGGTACTCTCACGCTTGGGGCACCGCTATACTCGCCGGAGTTTCTTTCTTCGCCCTCGGTTGGGTAATTAAAGGAGGTAATCCACTTCCTTCATTCCATCAAAACGACGACGCCTCCCGAGATCCCCCCAATTCTCCGACCGATTCTCCTGATGTCAACCGAACTCACTGAATTCCATTTCAAAAGTGAGTCTAACTTCTCAATTTACCTTAGTTGATTGAATTTTGTTGCTTTTAAGATTTTGTGTAATCAACACCACTTGTACTAAAAAAAATTCTCTTAAAAGCCCTAGCTTGATTATCTTTTCTTGGATGTATTTTACTGACATGATATAATCATCAAGGCATCTCTTAGTTGATTTTAACAGAAATCAGATTTTGGGTACTTTGACTACTCCTTTATTTATTTATAACAAATTCATGTTCGTATGAACTATCAATTCATAGACATTTTGGGGAAACTCTTGTGAAAGATTCAAATAGATAGATTTCATTAGCTGCAAGTTGTGTTTGATCAACAATAATTTCTTTGACTCTTAAACCTTTATCTTGTTCTCTGTTTTGGGTTATCTAAATCTTAAACCAGTTTGTACTCTACTTCTAGAATTGATTTTGTTCTCAATTAGGTATAATCTTTTAGCTGTAGATACCTTACTAAAAATTTAGGGCAAATTGCAGGAAATAGCAGCTTCTTATTAGCATATTTCTATTACTTTCATTACTTTCTTTTATTTTTATTTTTTTTTCTTCTTAACACTTCGTACTTAGAAAAATCTACCAGATCATAGCCATTGTACTCTCGACTTTTATGTTACGACATTATAAAATTTTATTCAGTTATATTAGTGAAAATTGCTACAATTGGATACGTTTTTCAAGCTACAAATTTTCCCTAATTTACTTTTTGAAGGTGAATTTACGTATCTACCCATTGCCGTTATCAGAATTAATTTGTTATTGTTATTGCTAGCTTCATTGTTGGGTTCCACAAATTGTTTTGTGGAGTTCTTTTATATATTGCTCTTTTCCTTGAGGAAATAGTAAATCAGCAATATGTAAAAAAATAAAGTATATTACTATTATTTGTAAAGAAACATAAGTTGCTATTATTGTTAAAAAATATAAAAGGATTAATACTTGTTACAATTTTAAAATTGCAGATGTGAGTCATGCTACAACAACGAAAGATAACATAAAAAAAGCTGAAGAAGTTTACCACCTTGTATAATGTATAGCGTAACAAGAACAATGGTAAAGAAGGTTTTGTATGGCTTCTTTAAGTTAACTTGTAAACTCACTTTTTCCTAAAGTATTACCCTTTGTAGATTTTTCATATGGTTTTATGAGACAACTACCCCTTCTTGTGCATATGTTTTTGATGAGGAGGATGAAAAGGTCATTTAGGTCTTTTTGTGTAGATGAAAAATCAAGAGTGAGTTTTGTCCATCTTTTGTGTGAAACAAAAATATTATTATTTTTAAACTATTGACACGAGTTGCACTCCTAGTCCAATGTATGTCAAAACCAGTATAAAGGTCGTCTTTTTTTTTTCTTTTACTTGACAAATGCTTTCTAGTGTTGTATTTGTCCGTTTTGTTAAGAGCAAGAGAGCAAGTGGTATTTATGTCTTGTTTCACTTTTTTCGTGTTTAAATAGAAAGTTACAAAACTAGTATAATTAAGGGTTAATGTCATAAATGACAAAATTGCAAGTTTGGTCCTGTGGTATATCAAAAATTGGATGCTTGGTCAAAAATGTTTTGGAGTTGCACTAATAAAATTGGATGATTGGTCAAAAATGTTTTGGAGTTGCACTAATTTTGCAAAAGGTTTCATTGTGAATTTGTACAAAGTTATTTGAAAATATTTAGAATTTGCCCTTTTAATTTAGTTTTTTTATTTTCTTTACAACGATTAAAAAAAGAAAATCTCTCTCTCTATCTTTCTCTCTCTCTCCTTAAAACCATTAGAGGAAGAGGAAACATCTTCTTCTATCTTTGAATGCTTCATATTGGTACTAGCATCTTGCAAGTTGCAACAAAAATGAACTCATCTCAAGATTTTAAAATAAAAAAAAAAAATTGAACTCACTGGAAAAACAAATCATTGTGTCTAGATTCAAAAACAACACACGTACACATACAAAATCCAGAATTTTGGGTTTATTCTTCAACATACAAGCACCTCTTCTTCTTAGATTTGAAACCCATATCTCGTCGGACCAATTGTCAGAGTTAGAGTTTCTAACTCGCGTTGTGTTTGGAGATGTAGATCCGAGAGATGTAGGCAGCGGAAAATGTTCTTCATCGGAAACAAAGACGGTGCCGGTGAAGCTTGTGTTCCAGCAGAATATATGGTGGTGGTGTGGGTTTGATTTTATTTTTTGTGGCGGAGAGAGAGAGAGAGAGAGAGAGAGAGAGAGAGAGAGAGAGAGATGTATTTTCTTTTTTTAATTGTTGTAAAGAAATTAAAAAAACAACTAAATTAAAATGTCTAATTCATCATTTTAAATGTTTTCAAATAAATTTGAATCAAATTTACAACAAATGAAAATTTTTAGACCTCTGGTGCAACTTTAAAACATTTTAAACCAAACACTCAATCTTTGACATACCAGAGGGACCAAACTTGTGATTTTGTCTAAATCTAATAAATCTAAGTTTATACGTCTTTTAATCTAAGTTTTTTTTAACCAAATGGCTTCTAACCTAGTGGTATCAGGTATTGTCATCCCTCTTCGAGGTCGATGATTCAAGTCTCGTTATGAACATAAGTGGATTTAGATAGTAGGGTAGGAGTTCGATTATATTTGCCGGTAAAAAAAATCAATAGTTTTATTTTAATCTAAACTAAACCTTAATACAACCTTTTTAACTAAATTTCATCATGGATTTAGATGGTAGGTTAGAAGTAGATTATATTTGTTGGTTCAAAATAAAAAATAAAAAATAAAAAAAATAAATAAATCAAAAAACATTAGTTTTTAGACAAAACTGCAAAAATGATCCTTGTGGTATGTCGAAAAATGCCACTTTGGTCCAAAAAATGTTTGGACTAGCACCAGTGGTCCAAAACTTTCATTTTGTTGCGTCTTTGGTCCAATCTGTTCTGATTATTTTCAAAATGACGGATTTACCCCTGTTAATATGATTTTCTCTTTTTTCTTATTTCTTTTTCTGATTTTCTGATTTAAAAAAAACAAGAAAATAAAAATAAAAATAAATCTCTCTCTCTAAAACAAGAAAATAAAAATAAAAATCTCTCTCTCTCTCTCTCTCCTCCTCCCCTCCTCTCCTCTCTCTCTCTCTCTCCTCTCTCTCTCCTCTCTCTCTCTCTCTCTCTCTCTGTGTGTGTGTGTGTGTGATTGAGTTAGTGTAGAGGATTGCTTTTGGTATGACAAGAAATTGCATAAATTATAGAGCGAAAGATAACAGATTCGTGTTTGTTATTCTTGGACTAATACTCACGATCACCTTAAATCCACACACTTCCACCATTGTTAGAACAAACATCACCAACCTCCACCTTTGACCTTGGATCGTGACTAGCAGCCACCAAGGACCACCCATAGCCACCACTGAACTGCTGCTAAGGAGTTCCGACAACCAGCCACCGATAGTGAGGCCACCGGAAAACCACCAGGGACCACCGGAAAATCACCGCTGCCACCACCCATCTACCCTCCTGCCATCGCCAATCAACCCACCACCCACAACCCTTTCCTCCTCTTTCCCTCTCGTCAAACCCGTCGGAACAGGAAAGTAAAAGCAACAGGGCTGCCATCGCCACCCTCCGTCACCGCTGCTGTAGAATCCCATCGGACACCATCAACCTCTTGACACCACCACCATTTTCTGCCATTGGTAAGCCACTACCACTCTCTCTCTCTCTCTCTTTATATTCTTGCGTCGAGCCCCACTGTTGATTACAACAGATCTGTGACTCGATTTTCAGATCTATTCATATCGGTTTTTCAGATTTATTCAGATCATCGGTTGAAGTTTGATCGATTTTTCAGATCTATTCAGCGCCACCCCCATTCTCGGTTCGTCCTCGTTGCTACCCTTGCTGCCTCATGTTTTGCTTTCCTTCCGGCGAGAACGAAGAGAAGGGAAGGGAGTTGGGTTTGGTTTGGTTTGATCGGTAAAGGAAGTGGGGGAGTAGAGGGTGGTGGGCAACTGTGGTGGTGAAGTGGTGGAGCAAGGTGGTCCTCGATGGTGTTGGGGTATTTCTTGGTGTCGCCGGTGGTTAGGGAATGAAGCAGCAACGAGGGGAAGAAAAGAAAATGAGAGAGAGAAAAGGAAGTGGTCGTTTATGGAGAGAGAGAGAGAGAGAGAGAGAGAGAGAGAGAGAGAGTGTGTGTGTGTGTGTGTGTGTGTGTATGTGTGTGTGTGTGTTTTGTCTTTTCTTTTAAATTCTTTTTATTTTTTTAACCAGTCAAATATTTAAATAAATAAATAAAATTGAAAAAGTAAAAGGTAAGGGTAAAATCGTCATTATAAAAAAGTTCAAAGCAAATTGGATCAAACTTGCAACAAAATGAAAAGTTTGGACCTCTGGTGTAGTCCAAACTTTTTTGGACTAAAGTGGCAATTTTCAGCTAACCACAAGCACCATTTATGCAGTTTTTTCTAGTTTTTATCTAAACTAAACCTTAATACAACCTTTTTAACTAAATTCCATCCTAAACTAGGTTCTCCATACAAAAAAAATCTTTTAGCCGACTTATGAAAAAGAAAACATTTTTCTTTGGCTTGTGAACAACGAGTAAAAGAAACAAATGTGAAAAAAAAAAAAAAAAAAAAAAATCTTTTAGCCAACTTATGAAAACAAAAACATTTTTCTTTGGCTCGTTAACTATGGGTAAAAGAAACAAAGATAATAATAATAATAATAATATTACTAATGATAATAATAAAATCTTTTAGCCAACGTATGAAGGAAAATAAAATAAAATAAGATAAAACATTTGGCTTATGAACTATGAGTAAAAGAAACAAAGGTGTTTCGACCTTAGTGGAGCCCGGGGGTCCTGAGTCACTGCTGCGATTCCGGCACGTAGTGTAAAAAAAAAATTATGTTTTTTTTATGTTTTTCTATTAGGTGTACCGGCTTAAAATACGAGTGCCACTACTAATTTAGATTTTTTCGGAATTTTTTTTAATATCTCCCC